TTGTCGAAGAGGTCATTCAGCTGACCGATACTCGACCTCGCTTCGAGTTGCTTCGAATGCAAACGAATGAATGCGGCAGCTGGGTCACATGCAACTGGTGACCTGTTTCGTCAACGCAGTGTGATCATGTGCGCCGGCGAATACTAGCAGAAAAAATCGCTTCAAAAGCACTGTGAAGGATGGTGCGTTGCTTAATGTCCGAGGAAATTAATGCACGAACTTGGAGTAAATCCTTCGGAGTAGGCTTTTTCAGGCATGGACCGAAATATAATATGAATATTTGAGCTGAAATCCATCCGCTTTTGCGGAATGACCGCGTAATATTCACAAACCGCCATCAGACTGCCAGTAGCATAGAATTTGTGTAATTATTTACCATGCTACCATTACAACTACTAGCTGAAAGCCCAAGCAAGCGTGTTTCGTCGACCTTCTGCCGCTGGCTGACACAGCGGCAAGTGGTTCGGCTAATTCACGGATCCTCCAGCCTTTCACTGTGTTGTTGGTATATCAATTCCAGTGTCACCTTGTCTTGTTTAATATCCGAGGAAATTAATGCGCGATCTTGGAGGAAATCATTCAGAGCAGACCATCCTATCGAATTTCGGACGATGCCTGAAAAGGTCTGTTCGAAGGAGTTTCTCCAAGTCCACGCATTAATTTCTTCTTAAATTAAACTAGAGTTCACAAAACAGAAGACACGCTGGGACGGCTGGGGAACCCCCTGATGAGCCAAATTCCTCGCAGTTGCATCAGACTGCAGTTCAAGTTCGGCCAAACACGTGCATGTGGGGACTGATCAAGTACCTGTGTTTACAGCCTGGTAAATAATTACACATGAACCCACTGTCGCCTGGATCATAAAAACTTCATCTGATCTGCAAAATCACATTTGCAGGTGGAAACCAATTAAAAATGCAGAAATTAGCGCTGACTGTACTTCTAGTCCTTTAAGGCCATAACATTTTGTGGTGGCTTACTCAGCAGCATTCGGTCATTTGCCAAAGTGCACTAGGAGATCTGCACAGGAATCTGCAATGCCTGTTGTTGGGCAGCCTAAATCGCTGCTCGAAATGACACATCCGAAATATACATCGCCGGGTTTATGAGCCTTCTTTTTTAATAGCCATTTTGTCGACCAACACCCGTGAACTGATTACCAAACCTGTTGACTTCAGGCGGTGTGGTTAGCAAACCTGATTAGCAAACCTGTTGACTGCAGGTGGTGTGATGGTCGGGTCAAATGTTGCAAACGCTGGAGTATGCTTGCCCTAGGCTGCCTCGGCACTCGCGTTCTGCCTTTGAGAGTTCTTTGCGACCTCGGCCAATTGCAGACAAATGTCGCTTACACGTCACAGCGTGAGATGTTGTCATCGCAGAACTATGCGAAGGCTACTGTCATGGGTCCCTTATCGTCTAAATCATCGAGCCCTTTCCTTGTCTGCGAAATGAAATTTGTAGTTCGAAATCAAATTTAGTTTCAGAAATGAATGCTATCTTTTTTCCTCATCCTACAGCGTCATAAAATTTCCCGTTTTTGATTTCTGCGTACTGTCATTGCCTGGTAATATCTCACATTCATCCTATCCATAACTGACTGTCAGGGGCCATTCAGCTGGCCGCTGTTAGATCGCACTTCGAGGTGTATTATTCATACTGAGATAATTATGTGCAGGCGAAGGACCACGGTCAAACCAGTTTTTTGCTACTTCAACCAATCGCAGGCCGAGGACGTTTACACGACACCGCGTGTGATGGTGTAATCGCAAAACTATGCGGTGCCTAGTGCCATTAATCCTTTACTGTTTCAAGCATCAAACACTCATCTGATGCGAAATGAAATTTGTAGATCGAAATGAAATTTTGTTTCAGAAATAGATGCCAATTTTACGTATAATCCTACAGTGTCCTAAAACCTCCCGATGTTTTCTAACGGCGTTATGTAATGGCCTATCAAATTGTCAGCTGCTAGATTGGAATCGCGACGATAGGCGGGGGCTGCTGGATTGTAATATGTAGAAAAGGGAAAATGCGAGTGCGTGCAGATAAGGGGAGATGGAAGTGGCCTTGGTGAGCGATTTCAAGTCACGGCGAAAACTTCTGAGGCGTGATTACGACCTCACAGCACGGGACGGTAGTCAGTCTTGTGGAGGGAGGGAGTGAGGGGTGGAAGAGGGGACTGGGCCACTCCGTCATTGGCCCGGACCATGGGATTGCGGGGTGATTCATGGGATCCATCCGACTACCAAGTTCTTGCTTCCTCCTACGTTTTGTAGGATCGTCTGAAATGTACCGGAGACGCCTGCTCGCTCCCGTTAGTAGAATGTCTGATGCAGCCGTTGGGTCCGCCACATGACCAATGCATTACAGTTTGTTTCGTAAACGGACTCATGGGTACCTTATGTTCAGCCAGCAAGCTTCTCCAGAGGCCGGCGCCAGATGGTGCTCGCACGCCGCCCTAACCTACTGATGTGCTCCACGTACTCGACTTACTAACATCACTCACAGCCTATGTCACACCTCTCCCTGCCACGAGGGGTGGCGTTGGAACAACGAGTGTTAATCCTGTAAACGTTTCATGTTTTTATTATCTATGCAATTGCAGTAGCCCAAGGATGAATCAACGAAAACACGTGTTTGTCAGCTTTACTTATCCCTGAATCATTCGTTGCTTCAGACACGTTTAAATGTCGTTCTAACATTAATCATATCAATAGGCTAGAAACTGAAAGTGCTGTTGATCCTGAAACGGCGTTAGTTTCATTCAGGCCGATACGAGAGATAAGGGCATTTTGGTCGGATTTTATTTCGTAGCCGTACCTACTGTAGACAATTCCCAGCCTGACGCCTAACCCAAGCCCAACTCCTAACCGCTAACAGTCACGGCTACAAAATACGACCTTGCCGGCATTTGGAGGAGAGAGGATGCAGTAACTGAATCAAAAAATGATATTCGTCCCAACCTTTGGTTTCTCACTCCAACTCAGCGCAGACAGCTTCAGATGAGGCCAGCGGACACACCGGAATGCAGTCATTAAAAGATGCAATTGTCATGTAGCCATGCAACTATCATACTTGCCACAATTTCATCACAGTGCTAATTTATAGTTTAGGATCTAAACATTTGATAGAGTGCACGTGCCTGGCTTTACGTGCGGACACATTTGTAGTGGCAGTCCTCATGAGTATATGCCCGCATATCCGATCATTGCCGATACAAGTGAAGATGCAAGTTCCAGGAACCAGTTGATCAGAAGAAGATGCGACCGCCGGAATAAGGGCTTTATTCGCCTGACCTTTCGGATTCTCACTTGAATCCATCATCAGAGACAGTTGCAGAAAAGGGTGACTCGTGCACAGGAAGTTGCCAACGTTCTTGATGTACGGGATCGTCTCCGAGGTCGTTAGTCGCCTTCTTGCACCACTTGGGGTTGGAGTTGCGCACAGACCGGAGCACACCATGAGGCGTCAGATGATGAGACCAAAAGACCCACTTTCATGGCAAGAAACATCTGGTGTCGTTTACCGGATCTGGTAAAGTTGCGGACAAAACAACTACGTCGAAGAAACTGGAAGACTGCTCCGGACGCGAATCGCCGAACAGGTGGCAGCTGTACGGAGAAATGACGCCAACTCTCAGGTCGCGGCCCATTCGACGAGACCCGGCCACACATTCAAGTTCGATGAGGCCGAAATTCTCCCGAGAGGGGATAGTCGCGTGAGCCGCGAGTTGCTTGAGTCATGGTTAACGGGACCTCAGTCTATCAACAAGTGCAACGACATGCCCACTCCATATTCCGTGCTGAGGCATAGGCTGGCCAAAGCAACTGACCACTTGGGGAGCGCGCAAGCCGGTGAGCCAGATGGCCGAGCAATCATCACGCCAGCATCCAACACGGTCGATGAGATTTCACCAATTAACAATTTGCATGCCGGCCATCAAGCAATTAGCACACCAGCGGGCAACAATCCTTGATGAAGGGGAGCACGGTTAATTGCTGTAGGTATGCGGTAGTATAACGACCGCATGCTATAAATACTGCAACTGCCTGTGCACGAGTCACCCTTTTCTGCAACTGTCTCTGATGATGGATTCAAGTGAGAATCCGAAACATCAGGCGAATAGAGCCCTTGTTCCAGCGATCGCATCTTCTTCTGATTACCCCGTCATTCGTATTGTGAATTCCTCTTTGTGATGGGCCGGAAAAAGCGTCTGTATCATGCAAGCGTAACACCCTCACTGTTGTGGCTAGGATCTCACTCGATCCCATTCTGTCCGCCCAGCAAGCTTGTGTCCTATGGCACAACGTTCGTTGTCGTCAGCAGCAAGCTGACGGGCGGACAGAGTGAGATCGAGTGAGATCCTTACTACAGTAGTGAGGATCATACGCCTACTTAACATGCTTTTATACCTCATTTCACAGGGAATATGACGTACTGATGATCGGTAACGTCTGTGAAACAATTGTTTGCGTCTAGCCTGTTGCACTTAGAACGAACGTCTGTATCTTGATATGCATAGGAGAGCTTTGCATGATAACCCGATATTGTAGATTACCATGTTGACAGCAAGGCATGCATGGCCAATGTTTACAGCTACCAAACAGATCTTGCTTGTGCCGCAGGTTGTAACAGAGTGCCAGTTAATCGGTCTTATCAAAAGGTTTCGCTGCACATTTTTGAAATTAAGTAAGTAAACTGCATGTTCCAAGCAGTGAATAAAACCTGAACCCCCACCCCCTATCAGCGCATGTTCTAGTTTGCCCACTTCTGCGCGAAAAACCTCATTTCATTAAAAAAAAATGAACTGGCATGGTCAGTGCAGCAGAAACAGAACCCCCTTTCAACACATCAGAGGAGTTTGGTCTAAGCGGATCGAAAATGAGCGCGAACTTTCGTATGACAGCATTTGGAACAATCACTACAAGCGTTCGTAAGCAGCGCTGAAGGAAATAGCAAAGGGCGGATGGTACAATGGTGCAATGGGTAAGCTCAAAAGGCTAGGCATTCGCAACGATGTGTTCGTCCACGAATTTTGCAAAGTCCTCATCCTGGAAGGCATTCATCGTGATAAAGGGTTGTTGATTCATAAGTTGACGGTATTCCAACACATTAGGCCACTGAGAGGCGACCGCCTCGACGCTATCACCGGAGGCATCGTCCAACTTCAGCAATCGGTCCATCACGAAGTCCCACGCATTGAGGAAAGGAAAGACAGCGAGATCACCCAGGCTCAGGTTTTCACCTTCAAAATTGAAAAAAAGGGGCGCCAGTCGGTCGGTTTTTCAAGAAAAAAATAAATTGCTTAAGCTCCGTGAGGATTCCAATTGACACACTGAGGAAGTTCAATTCGGCGAACGTGCGTTTTCGATCATCCTTCATCTGGCCAGTACATTAATATGTAGAGCAGCGACATTTGAGAAGTAAAAAAACTTACGAGCAGTAGTCATAACTTGGAGTAAATGTGTTCAGACTTGTGGGACGGCGGGACAATTATAGTCTGGTCGCTGTTAGTGGTACGGGAAGGGGGAGGGGAAATGGCAGTGTAGTCTGCCTGAGTTGTGCTTATGTTTCGTCACTGTGGCGCGAGGTGCCAGAGTGCGGGTCTGAATGTTCATGACTCAGCTTTGACCGGGGTAATAGGACGGCTTTAATGAAGGCCTTCCGCATCCGCTGTCGCAAGGCGCTCCAGTTCCCTGCGCCAACCGATACTTGCGACGGTGGAGGCAGTGGCCATACGACTAACGAATCCAGCCTTGTGTTCGCAGACGGCCTTGATTAAAGTCCTCCTATTACCCCGGTCAGAGGTGAGTCATGAAAATTCAGACCCGCACTATGGCACCTCGCGCCACAGTGACGAAACAGAAGCACAACTCAGTCAGACTGCCATACCACTTACGCTTGTAGCAGTCGCTCCAGTCTCCCTTTTCTCCGGCTCCGTTTTGTCGGTCGATGGCCGCGACAATCGTTGACACACTACAACCTCCGCCGTCTAGAACTGGGGCCCCTCCTATCCAGCTGCAGTGACTCCCGACTGCCCTCACAAACTATTATCACCTCGCGGGCGTCAGACGACCTGACTTGATACTTGTGAGCCCCTGTGATTATGCGTCCACCAAATCCTCCTCTAATCCGTCCAATCTCATGACCAGCACTCCGCCAGTCAGCCCCACCTACTGACACAGACATACACTCCCGCGTAAACTACAGACCGCGAATGACAGACTCCGTGAACGGACGCTTATCTCTTTTGCATGCAAAAAACCAACTTACGACAACCTACCCTGTGTACAGAATAAACTATTCCACACAGCTTCATGACTCATTACATTAGACGAAACGAACGAAGAGCGTGTTGTCTAAGTTGATCTCACAGCCTTGACCGCCACAAATTGGTGACCCCGAGGTGGTTCGTACACGCCACACCCTCCCCCTTCCCCCTATACCACGGAAAGAAACCGGACAATAATTGTCCTGCTGTACCACAAGTCTGAACACATTTACTCCAAGTTATAACTAATGCTCATAACTTGTTTTACTTCTCAAATTTCTCTGCTCTAAAAAGACCTATATTAGTGTACGTGCTTGATGAAGAATAATTGAAAACGTACGTTCGCCGACTTGAACTTCCCCAAAAAATATTGTGATAAATATACGGGATCATAAAAATCGTTGGTTTTTTTTTCTTGGCAAAAAACCACGCGGATAGTTGACCGAAGTCATGCAAGACGGGTAGAAGAGACGAGCATGAAGGAAAAAAATGGGGTGCCATTTTTGCTGCCAACTTGGATGGACTTATCTCCGCAGATGTTATCTCAGGCATCAAAAAGGAGAGGATTGAAAAAGAACTTTATAGACATCACATAAGGATGGCGAGATGAGGCGTTTAACTTGTAAAAGGCTTCGAGGGCAATTTTACTGCAATGCAATTCTGAATAGGAGGCAAAGACCTTGCGATGATAAACTGACGTACCCAGAAGGTAGGGTCCCTTAATGGCCTTGTCAAGATTTGATAGGGCGTTCTTGAGTGCATCGACGTCGGCCTTGGTTGCGTCGGTTGTGAAGCATATCTTGTAGCGTGGAAGAGCAATCTAAATGGCATGCGAAGAACGAAAAGTGGTCTGACTTTTTAGGACAATGAAGGCAGTTTGATATGAAGGTCGAAAATCAGCTGTAGTGATGCCTTGTGGCTACCCGCCGTCACGGTCGCCGATTTCCCCTGGCGTTCCAGGTTCTTCTACCTATGTGACTCAAGGTCCGGCTTGCGACGCCGTGAAGCCAATCGATGCCTCTGTCTTTATTGATCGGTCGAAGCAGCACACACTTCCAATTCGTGGCAGACAATGCAGAAGGCCTGGGACTAGAGTTGCCTAGCGAAAACACTAACTGCTACTGCTTACGGAGCTGTCTGCACGCTCTCTGCTTCAGTGAAGGCTTATCCATCGGTCTGTCCTCGCTTTCTTCTAATATGGGAGTCCCCAAACTGTTGACTGTCCTACATCGACAGACTTCTGCGTTTTAGCTTGCTGGACCAACGTGTTCATTGGCAGACCGCGTGTCCACCCCATTCACTTGGAGTATGCGCTACGGGCTATGCAACTCACTTTGAAAGCAATCAGTGCAGACAGGCTCTCTTTCCAGATAAACGCCCGGGCATTTGTCTGCACTCTCTAAGTGCACTTCTATAAAGGTCATTCAGCGTTGGATGCCAGTGCAAATGGTATCAACTAGGTGGGTTGCATTCCAAAAGTGTAGCAAAAAGACTGAAGAGGAAGCCCGACAGCCAAATAATAGCAGTGAGTAAGTACACAATGTGCCCCCGCTAACCCCATTGTAGGTGCTTAATGCAATTGTAGTTGCGGTTATTAGAATCTAGTTTTATTATATTTGCTATTATAGGCACCCACAAACGTGACATTAAAGGTAGCGAAAAGTGGCCCTACTACAGTCAGACAATTTCTCCGGGTATTCGTGCAAACTTGATTTTTACATGACTGAACGTCGTTATTATGGAAGATTGCGCGGCGGTAATGATTGCTCCTATTAGTGTCAAAAAACTCTCAGAGATTTCTTAGTTGAAATTGGTCCTCTTTATTAATGGAACCTGATGTTAAGATAATAGTTCAGTGCAATCGAACTCCCCATTACTGTAGCCGAGATTCAGTGCACTCGTATAATGTTCGTCAGACCATTTTTCGTGGTATTTACACCGGAATGTGGACGACAATTTTGACGACCATAAAAACTACCGTCGATCATAACGGCAGAAATGGCTTAGTATCTATTAAAGGATGATTATTATGATCGCCATTGCAATCTTTGTCGATTGCGCCGTTGCTGCGTTCGGTGCAAATTATGGTGCAATGATGAAAAAAGTTATTTTGTTGATACTGTCAACAATAACAACGCTTAGGATCCGATGATGCTGATCGACATTACCGCTCGTGTCTGTCCAGTTTATTGCTCTCGACGGAGCAGTGGACTCGCGCACTGGACGAGGATGGGAGGGTTGATGTCATATACACAGACTTTAAGAAGGCGTTCGACAGCGTCCCACACAAACGCCTAATCTACAAACTTTCGGAAATTGGGATAAGAGGAAAGCTGCTGACATGGATTACAGATTTTCTTACCGGGAGATCGCAAACCGTGTGCATTGAGGCCTCAAGGTCAACTCCTACTCCCGTTCTAAGTGGTGTACCCCAGGGCTCCGTCTTAGGGCCGTTGCTATTCCCGGTTTACATTAACGACTGCGTCGACAACCTGGGATGCAGCGCCATCATGTTTGCTGACGATGTTAAGCTGTGGAGACCCATCAGATCTAAAGCAGACAGGTACGCGCTTCAAGACAGTCTCAACTGCCTAAACAGTTGGTCAGCTCGCTGGCTCCTCAATTTTAATGTGGACAAATGTGTGGTCCTGAGACTCCGCACCAGACGGGCCAGTAAGGAGGACGATTCCTTTCAATACGCCCTTGGTGGTCAGCCCCTTTCAAATGTTGTGGAACAGAAAGACCTGGGCGTCCTAATGACCTCCTCGCTGAAACAATCTTCACAGTGTCAAAGGGCAGCCAAAAGTGCGATAAGGGTGTTATTTGCACTGAGGCGAGGATTTGTGCAGATCGATAAACAGCTGTTCGGAAAAACCTATGGGGCATTCGTCCGGTCTCACTTAGAGTATGCAGTCCAGGCCTGACGACCATGGTTGAAGAAAGATTATCAACGACTGGAAAGAGTACAGGCGATGGCTACGAAGATGGTCAAGAATCTTCATCATTTGCCTTACGAAACCAGGCTGACCGAACTAATTCTCTTTCCTCTAAATTACAGGCAACTGCGCGGCGATCTCATTCAAACCTACAGGATTGTCAGAAGCCGTGAGTGTGCCCTAAACTTTGATGAATTCTTTGAATTGGCCCGGACTGACCGTCTGCGTGGTCATCCGTTCAAACTGCAAAGGAAGCGGGCTCATTCGGACGTCCGACGGAACGCCTTCTCTCACAGGGTCATCGGGGCATGGAATGGACTCCCTGACGCCGTCGTTCTTTCCGAAAGTGTCAAATCCTTCAAGTGCAGACTAGACGCTCACTTGTTGAGAACCTACTGTACGTACAATAATGATTGTTTTAGCGGCGGCAGTTTGCGCCTAGCTCACACTTGCCGCGTACTTTTTAACTTTTCGCATTTGCTGATGTAATTGATGACTTTATATCTGTTTAACGATATGAATAGGGAGCTCAAGGGCGAAAGCCTCATTCCCTTAATAAACTGACTTATGAACATCTTTGTTGTTTGAAGTGATATCGATGCTGCTGCTACCGCTTCAGACTTTGAGGGTGTTACTCCTGTTAATGTCGTTATTAATGATGTTGCTGATAATGTCGATGGTGACGGTGGTTGTGGTGATCGTGTTGGTCTTGTCAGCTGTGGTTACCTTGACGGCGATTTTGGTGCTGGTTGTGATAATCAATGGTCATGATGGTGATGACGGTGGTTGTTGTAGGGGCACAAATTGCGCGTGGATGAAAAATTAGACAGGAAAATAAAGTACAGGTAAGTGATTCTGTGGCCACTGCATCATGTAACAGTGTCCATTTGTGCGTTTCGAAAAGCTCGGATGAACTGCGTGGTAGCAAGCAGAATTACCGAGGACGTCAAATCCGCCGCTAAACTTGCCGTCGTAGAAAGTGAACTTTGTGAAAACTGCAATCTAAATACTAAAGTTTAACAAATTGGAAAGGACTAAGCAATTGCGCAGGATAAGAATGCGTTAACTGTTGCCTGACAAATTCACCGGCGTTTTGATATTCCTGCTCTACCGGCAGGCGTATTTCTTCAATCTAGCGATATTCCGAGTATTTTTTTGACTACCTGCCTGCTCTGCGTGCTGATTTATTTTTTGAAAAAATGAACTTTCCTTTTACTAAAGAACCGCGTATGGGCGGTGCAGAAAAATGAGCCAATGCAGACATTTCAGCAGCAGCCACTCTTCGTAACGGTACAGGTAATTCTGCTGACGAAGGGCCGGACAAAAATTCCACCGATCAACGCCCACTTTTAAAACTAATGTGAAAACCTCTCCATAGGTTTTTTCCTACCCCGCGCATATACTTGATCCCCCCCCCACATAAGCTTCCTAGGTATGCGGGCATTCTTCTCGATCTAGTAGTAGTGGCCCTAAAGCGGGCCACTTGGTAAATGCGTTGGACCAACACGGTGGCCAAAAGGGGCCCCGGCAAGCGTAATTGGGAATGCACACCCATAACAACACTGGGAGTGTGTTGGCACGTCTAGTTGCAGGTGCACGCCGCGCCAATTGGGATGAGGGTGGCCTACCTAAGTTGATTTGGCATCAAATCCTGGTTGGTGTGTGTTGCGGACTAGTGGGTGTGGCTGTACGCCTAGGTGTCTCCTGCCGCCTCTAGTCTTCTTGACACCGAGTCACGGTGGGGGTGGGAGCGAGTGCGGTTGTTGCTGCGCAAGTCTACTATTACTATAAACTAAGTCACGCACATGTCCTACCCTGCTATGGAGGACGTGGTGGACATCGGCGGCAACGACGGTGGTTATTATCGTTGTTGACAGTGACAACGCTCTTATTGTTATTGCTTTTGATGATGTTTCCAGTGAGGGCGTAGTAAAGAAACGGACACTTCAAAAAAGACAGTGAGGGACTAGAAATGGCTGGGTTAGCGGATACTTTTGAATCCACTCCTGAGTACGAAGTTCAACAGACTTACGGCGGATGACAAATCCAACGCCATCTTAAAGCCCTCCTCGCCGCATACGCTCAGGAGAGAATTCTCGTCACCATTGAACTGGTCGACGTACTTCATGATAGTATCCGAGTCGGCCACTTGTTCAGTACGATAGTGCAGCAATGGGACTTTGCCCGCCGGATACAGTCGTAAATACCAGCCGGGTTTGGTGCCGAGGTTTATCAAAACATGGTCATACCTAAGAGGAAACAGAATCACTGGTAACGACCAAGTATTTGAGTACAACAATTGTTGCTGACATTCCACAGTTAGGTGTAGAAGCAAAAATCATTCACGGGCGTGCAGGCGTAAAGACTATGGAAGACGTGTAGGCAATAGTAAAAATTTATGGGCAATGGTCGGGTTCAAGATTATGTGTAGATTTTAAAGGTTTTGTAGCCTAAAGGTACGATTTCCTTGACTGTAAAATCGACGCAAGTGAATTCCAGACGTTGCAGTATGTTGGACGGGTAACCTGACCCAAATGTGATTTAACTCGCGTCGTCCGGCGGGGCCTCGTAGCTCAGGTGGTTAGAGCGTTGGCTGCGCTAAAGCCTTCCCCTTACCGCGTGGGTTCGAATCCCACCGAGGCGCCGAGTTTTTCACAGTTGGGTCAATATGAATTATTTAAAATCTGCTAAAACATCTATGAATCAGTTGGGATTGCCTTAAGTGACCCTTTGCAGGATGACGTCGACTGAAATCCAGGCGCAGGGCGTTAGCGCCTTGGTGATTCAACTACCGTGGCGTTGCGTCTCCACATATAAACGACCTGCCTTTTTATATCTGCCGAATTCTTTAGCTCTTCAGTTCATAATGGCGCCAACTCGTATCTGCGGAACATTCGCGCTACCGTCCACGCTCTGTCTGATGATAAAAAAAGAACAGTCACAATTTTTGCAATCTCCATCTGCATCGAAGACGATCTCTGCTACTCCACTTACTACGGCTCAGGACTTTAGCAGTTTAAATAAAGCAGCCAAGCGAGCATCAAATAATAGCAACATGATTAATAGTATTGTGAAGTGATAACTACTACCTTTGTACTGTCGTCCACGTTGCGGTTATGGAATACTTAAAAATATCAACTAAGTTCCCCACGTTCAGTATGGTCCAAAGACAGTCATTCCATTTTAAAATGCAACAGGTCGTGTCCTCAATTGTTAGAACCCTGAAACTGGCGCCAGCGAGGTGTCTAGGCCCCTAACCGAGTGGACAGTCAGCTTCTGTTAAAAAGGGAATTAGAAGCCCACGTCCTGTGACTAACAGGTCTTCGGCAAAAATGGTGTGTGCATGAATAGTTCGAAAAAAGAGAACAAAGAAGGCTTTCTTACGGTATTTGATGGTAGTCCAGGGTGTACCGAACACGTTGACAATACGGACAGCATTCCGCTTCATAGAGGGTAAACTTTTCCGGAACGGTTGAGGGTTCAGGATCGCCTGGAATGAAGAAATTGTGAATGACGAGAGGGAGTTTCTAGGCGCCTGAGTAATGGGGTGCTCCACGAAATGGAAAGCTGTTCTGTGCGGCTAACATTCGAGGGAATTTACATGTTTGTGGAGGCAGACGGGTTTATCCATCTGACATGAACTGCCGATGCGCTTTGCATTTGATGTCTCCATCGGCAGTCCTTTCGGCGTAGACTTGACTATCAGCAATATCTACCCAACTGATGAAACTGAGTAGTATTTTTGGCAAGAAATCTTGATCTTCGTCAGGGCCTTCCTTCTGTGATATGCGCACTTCCCGTGCGCACAAGAAAATACACATAATCTGGAGATAATTGACACTTCTCGGTTTCTTACCTTCAGGCCGATCGCAAATCTTCGTTTCGGAATACGACTATCAGACGGTAATAAGGGGAACAAAGCGTTCAATGCTGTGACCGGCACACATGCTGGCTACTCGGGACCCGCATTAACGAGCATGAGCTGGCCATCCGCCGACGGGACCCCTAGCCTCTCGTGTTTGAGCATGCTCATGACTGTGATTGCCGCTTCAATTGGGACGGAACTGAAGTCATCGCCAACGCTAGTACAAGACAGAACCGATAATTTCTCGATGATTGGCACTCTAACAACAACAACAACAGCATTGACCGCTATGGAGACGTAGACGCCCACCACGAGGACTTACGTTCTCAGCTCACTGACTTGCGCCCACCCTAAAACATTAGCCTCTAGTCCGGCTTCGGCCATGTAGAATATCACGGAATCCAAACCTCCAGGACACAGTAAACCATAATTGACACCCTCAACCTCCCCCCCTAACCTCCGGCACCTGTATAAAGGCCGTCAAGTGGAGGTTGGTTCTGTCGATGTAGCCTCGAAATCCTCGATGCGCTTATCTCACTCCTCAGTATTCGCTCCTTCTGACGACGGATTGATGAACCCAGCTCAAAATGATTTTCTGATGAACCTACTCCTTGTACTGAAATTCGATGTATAAGTATTGGTCTAAATTAGAGCCCTCCCAATCAAGGACACAAAAAACTCTCTCGCAGTCGGAGGGACAAATCTTATGTACATTGTAGGCTTGAGGTTGAATATACCCCACATCACCCGCCAAACAAGAGACTATGTGCCGCACTCGAGACCCGCTAGTGATGGAGGACTTTATATGGGTTATGTTTTTGATTAGCTCAAGCGTCTTAGGAGATCCACTAGGATTTATTGCCCTCCCACTGTTCGAAGGGGATGCCCCACACCTCCTTTACAGAAGACATGCACGAGAGTGTTATTTCTTCACTGCCTTTTACAGCAAATTACGGTTATTCAGAATTTTGTGCTTGAAGGAAGAGTGTCTTCCTGGTTTCAAAAAGTCTCGAATTATGGGATTTTTCAGGGCCATGAAGCATACTTTCATAAGGTGCCCATATGCTCACATATCGATACCGCCTATAAAGTATGCATCATGGTTTGCGTTCACTGCAAGTTACACGGAGGCCTACATGACGCCTTCGTTATAAACCTAGGATTTTCCACACAGTGCTTGTAATTTGGGATTACTGGATCTGCAATCGTGGTGGTAAATCAGGTTTAGAATTATTCGGGACCCAAAAAGATTTTATGACAAAATGCACCCTTTCGTCGGATATAAATTGCGATGGTAAGTGTGGTCCCGAATTTAAATGAAAATATTTAGTTGCCAGAGCAAAAGTGTTTGGCTTCTAGTGTCGGTGTGTTATACAGTATAAACTATTAAGGCCTTAAGGACCGTGAGCGTCTGCTATTCCATGATCGTCAAACCATGACCCTCGCCGCCTGGTGTACGCTGGCAGTGCTCTGACACCTGCTTCCCTGCCGGTGGATGTGCGTGCGTTTCGATGGGTATACAGTGTATGGTGCGGACCACGGGTGGGACGCCAAGGTGCAGGCTCGGCCGCGCCATCCACCTGCCCCCTCTCCGCCTCCGGTATTTGTGACTCTCTCTCTCTCTCTCCAATTCAGGCCTAAGTGGGGGTAGGATGAGAGAGTGCGGTAGATGCTGTGAAAGTATACTCTCATTATAAGCTAATTCACGCGTAAATCACCACGCCTGCTGCACAGTATTACTGCTTGCATGCGATTTTGTCGGGTAATAACTACTACCGAAGACCAGACTGTGAGAAGTGCCTCCCATGTCTACACCAACGACCCAACAGAATCCGATAATGGCATGTAGAATTTCCCATTTATTCGATACAGCTGTAAAGAAATGATCTACTTTATTCACACAATACTTTAAGTACCAGTAAGGTAGGCTAATGAATCGAAACACTAGGTTTTTGTATGACAAATTTAATATAAATGAAGAGTCAAATGAAAGATGGAAACTCAAACTCGACGACGCCAAGTGTCATTATTTATTCATGGCCGGTCATCGCCAAGACTATTAATTAAGGTCGTTAAATCAGATCTCTCTGATAAGTAACATCGTTTTGCTATCAACCTCGGAAAAGACTTTACCACGTCAAGCGCGTCGTCCTCGACACTATCTTTCCAGATAATACAACTTATGTTTCCACCCCTGCGTATTCTAATTATTATAGTTTGTTTAGGGGCTTGATCGCAGTCGGTAGCCAGGAATGGGGAAACGGACGGCGACCTTAATCCTAATCCTAACCCCAACCCCAACCTAAATCGTAAACGTACCCGTAGCCCTTAGACAGCCGTAACTGAAGAACCTGACCGTAATACTGAAAACGAATCGTACGCTCAAACCCTAACCATAACCCGAAAATCGGAAACCATTAACCGTTACCCTAATCCTAACCTCAAACGTACAACGGAAGCCAAATGGGTCACATGTGATTATGGAGCCCCACAAAATAGCCCCAGTAAGCAAACGCTCACGCCACCTGTAATACGGGTCCTGGCTACCAACTGCGATCTAGCCTGTTTAGGTCCCCGCAATGCCTTTGATTTCCGTATTTTATCGTGCACAATTATAATGTTATTATCTAATTGATTTAGACAACACACTAACAACCAACATGGCATTCAAATGAACCAGGGCTCCATGTTTGTTAACGACAAGTGTAAAATAAGTATGCAATAAATAAATAAGATTTAAATAAAGGATGGAAACTAAAACTCGGCGACGACAATTATCACTATTTATCCATGCCCAGTTTAATCAGGCCGTTAAATCTGGCTTGTCTGGTAAGTAACATGCTTTCGTTATCCCGTGGAAAATACTTTACCAATCTATAGGTGCTTTTTCTGACACTAAATTTTCACCCGTATGCATCTTGAATATTGTGAATTTTCTAGATTTCTAGAATGCCTGTGGATTAGGCCGTAATTACGACGTGCAGAAGACGCGCATATTGCGAATATAACACTCTGATTACAGAATGTAATGCAAAGATGATAACTTCATGACAATTAACTAACCATTCACAGAGCATGAGGTGTTCACTCTCCGCTATTTCCTTTCAAATATAAAGAGCGTAACAACAGCCATTTCAATCTCGGATCTTGCTCAGGATTGTGACAAGTATACATAATATTCCAAGCTATTCTCCATTCTACTAGGAGCACTCAAACTTCTTGCATTCTCCAGGCGTGAGGTTTTAGGTCTTTTACACCGATTGCTTAACAAGAAAAACCGGCCAGGCTGGCAAACGGAACGTCCTCAAAGTCAACAAACTTTGGCATGAAATTAATCGCCTTAAATATATCGTCCTCAGAACTTCGCTAGTTTTCGTTTTATCTCCATTCCTGGAAAGGTTTTACTTGTTATTACATAAAGTGTTGTCCTTACTCAAGTTGTGTAAGGCAAGAAAGTATTTTCGTTTTCCCGATCAAATGAGTCTCTCAGTACTCGCGTGAACGGATTTCATTTTGAACCAAAGCCTAGATAAGAAGAGAACATGCAGTTCGAGGTAGGTATGTGCAGTAAAACAACATGGAAACTAGGAAAACTGATCTATATTGAGGAAAGTACGCCTGACGGAAAGATCGCCACTACTGTTCACCATGCGTTAATGCGTCTTGTAGCATCGAATACAAAATTCTTGATTAAGCTTACCTTGTTTCAAGTGCTGATCTTCATCAGAGGACATTGTGAAACAGAGCACAGAGCGTGAACTTGCATAGGCAGTGAGCCATAACTTTTTATACAACCCCCGAGTACCGTCGACGATAGCTATTGGTTAATTTCTTGACTGGCGATTGGTAGATTTTTTCTAGGCATGTCTGTAGAACATCTCGAATGTCATTGGCTATGGTGGCAGCTGTGACAGCAGATTGACGTGTTCTTAAACGTTTCGTGAATGCCCTCAAGAGCATAGGCATAAACATTCCGTCGGTGAGAAGTCTACTCTGAGCATATCATTCACAGTAATAACCATTTACTACTGAAGTATTCTCAAAATTTGCTAAATGAAAACAGTAATGCAAAAAAATTGGCACTGTCAATACAACTGCGAAGTATTCAAATCAGTAACGGCTAGCTTGAGTTTTACCCTGTTACGTTATTGGTTGTGATGCGTTTTACGCCACAATTCACCACAAGGAGGGCGCCCCGGAAACAAAGTGATTCGCAAGTGGTTACAACCAAAATCTTGTATCCGTGGCGTTCCCCTATGCAAGCAGTCTTCACACTAAATTGCTGCTCCCTCAAATGTCAGAAAACGTGAATTTTAAAATCGTAAAATCAGAATTAAGTCTTCTGCCGCAAGTAAAAGGCACGGCGGGATATTTGACGATTACCAGAAACCAGTGGTCGCGTTTCTGGGCAACTGGATGATAACTTCAGGTTTGGGTAGAATCGGCACACCACCGTTAGTCTGAATTGCCCATGCCTGCACCTGGTTTGTCGGTATGTTGGGTTTCTCCATAATGCGAGATTGAGGACAAACTTGATATAAGCGTATAGTACTTAATTGCAAAAAACCAAATACCATTTAATTTATTGGTAAGGCAAGTGGAAAAACACAACTCTGATAGATGTTGCCAACTAACCCCCAAATCTTGCTTCTGGATCGGCCTGGTCAATTAACCCAACAATTGTGACCTTCATTTGGACATCTGAAGGGGAGCATAAAACAGATGGCATGAGCTGCTAATTGCTGCGTCGTTTCTGCCAAGTTAGTCGGTGTTGGCGGTGTGCGCGTCCGTGAGTATCCAGGACGGTCAAATGGACGGCTACCTGCAATTGGCAGCATCGAGTCTCCACAAATGCTTTTTTATCTAGAGCTTTCAGTTTGTCAAGATGAGCCATTTGATTGCTGAAATGCAGATGGTGAACGGGAAAATTCAACGAAGCAGTCGGTCACCTTGTCGTCTCCTGCGTGCCTGCATTCGGAGCCGCATCTTGATCGGTCCAGCACTAGCACGTTCTGCCGATTTAACCTCTCGAGGGCTGCAGAATTCGGCAAATGCCAGCGTTGTGATCGGGGTGCTTAGAGGTTGCCTTCTGCCGTTTAGGAAAGCGGAAGAAACTGTTGGTCAGGAGGAGGTGATTTTCTGCGCAAATTCGCAGAAGAAGAGGTCATTGTCGTTGCTGGCAGCGGGAAAATGGGGACCAAGCACTCCCCTCCAGGCATCGTATTCTGTTCTGACGCGGTCATTGGAGCCGTCAAGGGCACTCAGTTTGTCTACTTTCGGTATGGTCGCGGGGAGGACGTGCTCGTTCACTTAGAATGCGTTCTTTGCGGCGTTGAAGCTAGTCATCACGGGACGTACGGCGGGGATTTGGTCTCCCCGGAGAAGTAGCCGTTGCCTTAGCAGGTATCGCTTATGCGCTGTGGTCGAAAGGGCAGTCGTCCCACAATGTCGTTTCGGGTGGCAAAAAAGACGCCTGTTTCGCGTCAATCTGCCTTGAGGCGACAGCTCCAGAAGAGTTTATAGCCTAAAAGGGGACACACATTCTAGGCTCACTCTAGCAGCCTGCGGGGTGGGGGCTGGTCGTTGTTCGTAATGGTTTTTCGATTACGAGTTGTGCATCAAAGAACCATGGCATACTTTTAGATGACATGGTTTAGGGCACATTTCCTGGCCCATTCCCCTAAAGGCAGCAGGCAGTGCTGTCCCCAGATAGGGGGTGATTAGTCATCTTGGACGGCCGCTGAACTCCACTACGCTTGGTTTAGCCACCTGCATGATCGCATGTCGCCCTTCTCTGTTAGGTGAGATAATTGGTCCCGCAGAAATCTTATGAGCAATGACATCAAGCCTTTGTTTGGTTAACTGCAATTTTTCTTTAAATCGAAATCCGCAAGGAATCTCGCATGCAGCGACACAAGATTATTTGAGGCAATTATAATTGATATATTATTGTTCAGACAAAAGTCTACTGCCAGCAAGAAAAGGGTTTTTCGAGAAACATTTGTCTATGCCAGTTGGTGCTTCAAGGACTGCTCAGCTCTTACATTGCGGCTCTTAAGTTGGCAAGCAGGTATTTGCTTCTATTCCCATCGATGTAGAGGAACTTTGTGCAACACTTTTAATAAACTAACTCGTCATTAGCCTACGCCGGCTTGTTTCTTTTTACATTTTGTACACTATTCGCAGGGAGCTATAAAGATCGGATGACATTTCATTTTCACTGTTGAGTGAGTACTCCAATAAAATAGCTATCAAACCTGTTTCTTCTGATAAATCCTCAGAGCAGAGGTGGCACTATAAAAACGCACCAAATGATGTGTCACCTTTGCGTAATTCTGCTTTTATTTATGACGACACTATTGCATAACTACTTTTGACTGATAAGTTGTCATGTTAAATGGCAAGGCCCGTCGCCCATTTATTTAGTTTGGGCTCTGTTCATGCGCAATGCGAGTGGAAACTTCAGATACTTGAAGAAGGAGACACGATCGCCGGGACTAGAGCTTTATTAGCCTGACGTTTCGGATTCCTACTCGACTACATCATCAGAGACAAAAGAGCAGAAAAGGGTGGTTGTTGCACAAGGGACGGCAGTATTTATAGGATGCAGTCGCCATGCTACCGCATACCTATGGACATTCACGGCTCCCTCCTTCATCCAGGATTAACGCACTTGGTGTGATCATTGCTTGATGGCCGACATTCGAGTCGATAATTGCTGCAATTTCATCACGTGCGTTGGATGTTGGTGTGATGATTGCTCGACCATCTGACGCACCGACCCCGGTGTTGGAAAAAGTGTTCACCTCTGCGCTACCTTGTGCAGCAACCACCCGTTTCTGCTTTTTTGTCTCTGATGATGGATTCGAGTAGGAATCCGAAACGTCAGGCTAATGAAGCTCTTGTCCCGGCGATCGTGTCTCCTTCTTCAAGACTACTCCCTGGGACTCGTCTCTTCGCTTCTATTGACTTCAGATACTTTTAATTCCTGTTTTGCATTATCGATAGAAGCGATCAAGCGAGTTCCAGGGTGCAGCTCATACGAAGAGGGAGATGCGACCACTGGAACAAGAAATCTGTTGACCTGGCATTTCGAATTCTCACTTGAGCCTATCAAGAGAAACAGTCGCAGAAAAGGCTGGTAAAGGCACAAATAGTGCAGTATTTATAGTACATAGCTGTCGTGACACCACCTGCGCACTTTACTTAGCAGCTATCACGTTAATCGCTGGGGGTCGTAATTGAGGCTATGATGGTTCCACTGCCGGCGTACGAGTTGTTAATTTCACCATCCATTGGCAATCGAAGCGAAGAGACGAGTCCCAGGAAGCAGTTTTAAGGAGACACGATCGCTGGGACAAGAGCTTTATTAGCATGACGTTTCGGATTACCGCTCGAACCCATCATCAATGACAAGGCAGATACGTGCGCTTCATGCATAAGGGGATGCAGTATTTATAGGATGCAGTCGCCATGCTACCGAATACCTTTGAATATTCACGGTCCGCCCATTCATCAGGGATTGTTGCACGTGGTGTGATGGCCGACATTTGCGTCGTTAATTGCTGCGATTCCATCACGTGCGTTGGATGTTGGTGTGATGATTGCTCAACCATCTGATCCGCCGACCCTGACGGTGAGAAAAGTGTTCACCTTTGAGCTTCCGGCGTGGTTAATTACTCCGCCTAGGCGAAGTATTTTGTTCTGCAGGGAGCTCACAGGTGAGCACTTTTCCCAACACCATCCAAGTTTGATGCTGGCGTGATAGTTACTCGGCCATTTGGCCCGCTATCACCGGGATTGGTGCTCATGCCGTCCCCACATGAGTAATTCCCCTGCTCAGGGGATGTCTCAGCAACCGCGCATTAATCACTTGGACGCGGACTGACGAGCAATTAACGCCTCCAGCGGTGATCATTAGAGCTGTTAATTATAGTAAGCATGTGACCCCACGACAGCTTCCCTTACGTTTATCTGCGAGCATCTCTGATGATGTGTTCGAGGGAGAATTCGAAACGTCAAGCCAATAAACTCATTGTTTCGATGATCGCATCTCCTTCTTCTGACCTGTTTTGTATGCCTTACCACAGACTCTATGTGCGAGACTTATTGTAATCAATGTCAACCTCTTAAACCTAACACCGTTTATCTGTTTAATGTCTAATTCAACATTTCTAATTACATGCCATTGAATGATTGAGTTTATTGTGGGTTTATTTTCGTTGTCCGTTTGTCTCACGAACGGAACTTACTTATGGTTATTTTGCCGATCAACCCGCCAAAAGTAAATTGTAAGACATGTTAACTGCTGGCAGTTTTTAACGCCATCAACTTGGTGATCGCGTCAGACGTTGTGAACTTTTCAGCGCCTCACACCGAGTTGCATCTGACATCGGAGCTGACCTTCGCAGCTTTGTTTTTGACCTCCGTTGGCGACATATGAAAACATTTTAAATTCCGCTCTGTGTCGCGTGCGAGGCGCTGGCATCACGCGCTGCGGAAAGTGAGATTACATTTGAGCCCCGTGTTACAATCCTACTTTATCTTGACCATCGGGCTCTCAGCTGACATACTAAGTGAAATTTACGTTAAGCAAACTAACCAGAAATTTGTACTCAGCTCGAGCTTGATAAATCTATACATACATTCGAGTTGGAAAGAAAAAGACTCGATTAACGATACAGAAGCCTTCCTCGTCTGACGTTTCGGATTCGTGTTTGGACCCATCATCAGA